TAGATAGATAGATAAATAGAACGTTGGCAAAAATATTCAATGAAAAAAAATCACGAACCTGAGCAGAATGTAGTTGAATCCCATACAACTCTACCTTCCTTGCTGTATCTAACAAGTTGAAATCTGCTTCAGCAGGTGACTGGCCCCTGAAAAAATTAATTTGTAATGTCAAAAAAAACTTACAGCTCTTATAATTGAGTGATGAAAAAAATTTTAAGACCAGAAATGTTGAAAAAATAATAAAACATTTGTAAACTTGTTCTAAGACTTTCAATGTGACAATGTAACTTTGTGCCTGTTACACATCAGCAATATTATTCTTCAACTCAGCTTGCATAAACCAAGCTTATTTATATGTACAACTTTAGTTCATTTCATCTTTTCAACTTTCTTTTTTAACCTACCTTCAATTTTTGCAATAAATTCCTAAAGTGTAAAATCTTTACAACCAGCCCCAATTTAATATTTAACCAACGTGTCCCATCACACAACTTTATGCTTAATTGATATCAACAGATATCCTATTTTAGGAAAAACTTTCTGCAATATTTTTATCTCATTTAAATAAAATTGAAAAAAGAAACGTTAGTAACAAAATCAATTTCTAAAAGACCAAAAAATTAGCAAAAATATTAACATGTGCTCCTTATGGTGTTCCATGATTTGTAGTTCAATTTCAGGTGTCTGGTTGGGAAGCAAGTGCAGTTGGCTGATGTACGACTGACTGGCATATTCATCACAATAATTTCCAAGTTCAGCTACCAACAAGTTGAAAAAAAGATTTAAAAAAAAACAAGTCTACATATGTAAAATTTAATGTAATTACCAAGCATGTGAAGTTATTATAAGAATCGTAATCATTAAGTCAATTCACTTATGTTAATTATTGTAAATATTTCAAATTTCTTTCTTAAATATGAACTACTTACTTAATTTATTTATTGAAGTCTATTATTTTAAATAGGTCTGTTAATTACTTTATGCATTGAGATTGCAAATGAGCAGTTATAACAAATTTCAACTCAATCAAACATGATGAATGCTGAGGGGCGAGTAGCAGAAATAGAAATGTTGTAGTGCATTTAAATTTGATACCATTTTACGGATGGAAATAAACTCTGACTGCATCGGGTTAGATGTAAGTAATTTTTTACTAAAATTCTAAATTATTCGATACAAATATACAATAATATAAACTTCATTATTACTTTAATTTTTAAGATATCACGTTTTTTATACAATGTTGGCAAAATAAGTAAGTCTACAAGAAATGAATGTGTGACAACATTATGATTAAGTGTGAACTTTTAACCTTGAACAATGTATGAAGCCAAGAGAACTGCTGTGTGCTCCTGGCAGTAAAGATCCCCGGACAACAAATCTCTTTTGATCTGCAGAGCCAGTAAGTACCTGAGTTTGAAAATTTTATATCAACCACATTGTTATAGGAAACAAAGGAAATGTCTAATTTTAAATGTAGATTTCCAATTTTTACTTAAAACAAAAAACAAATTTAGACAACCTAAAATTCACATACATAAAAATGAATAAAAAAAATTGAGTGAAATGATACAAAGACCATCATATGTGCATGATGTGGTACTTGCATGTGCATATGTAATGTGTATGAGCATCATGTGGTGTGGAAAGTACAGCCTTTGAGGCTAGAGGTTTAATCATGAGTGAAGGAAATAACATGAGAGTGGCTCTGCATTTGACAGAGCTGTATTATTAATAATAAATTAAAAAAACACACAACCTTGTAAATTCTTCTTCGAGCAAGCCAGGATCAGGAGTATAAAATTTTAGAAGAAATTTGAAGAATAACTGATTCCTTGTCACTTGTTTTAAAATAGGTTTCTCATGGTCTAACCAACACTTGAAACAAAATAATGAAACAAAAAATACTTTTAGGAAATATAATTTGAGAAATGAAATTATTAAAGAACTGTAGTGAATCTGGCATATCAGAAAAGTTTCCTTCAAAATTAAAGAATCCAATGAGTTCTATTCATAGGTGCATGTATAAAAATTCCTCTCAAGATTTAGTGTTCAGACCCCTTAATAATATCATACCAATCAAGATAGGAGATGCCATGGTGACTACTACACTATCCAAAATAAATTACCTTCTTTAACAAGTCACTGAACCATTCCATACATTTCTCATATAGATTTTTCAAAAACCTCTCACAAAATCCTCATTATTCTCCTTTCATCATGTTTCTAATAAACTTAAAATTGCAATTTCATATTATCCTTACTCAATTACCATTAAAAGAAACTGTCAAATAATTCAGACATTCCCAGATTTTAATTCTGATTCTTATTTTATCTTAATAATAAACTGTCACGTCGAACTGACAATACAAAGCATTGCTTTGCTTCTTTATTTTAACCATGCCATACAATTAAAATATTGAGAAGCAAATGATGCATGAAATATTGTTATAAAAAACGATTTACTGGTATCAACTCCGGGTTATTGTATTGTAAATCAAAGTAGTCACATTCTATAAGTTGCAATTTCTTGATGACTGCATTGAATAAATCTATTCCTCTTCCTTTCAACTGAAATAATGTGAATTTTAATAATTATTAATATACAATATTAGCGTAAAAGCTGTTGACAAAGATTTGAATGAGGATTGAAATCAAACTAATCACTCATCACAATACAAATAATGTAAGAGTTAGTTAAATGGCTTGAAAAATAATACATTAAATAAAAATATGGACAAAAAAAGTTCATGGCTACTGATGAATCTCTGCCACTTAGTTAATAGAACTTTATGTTGGGCAAAGTGTGACAAAACACACAACACTTTAAATTTCCAGTAGAATGAGAATAGAACAACAAACATTTACAGCCTATTTTACTAAACAACAATTATTATTAACTCAAACTATTACATCAAAAAATATTTACTTACATGTTTAATTTATAATAAGATTATTAACAAATCAGCATGTTATGTATCAGATAACAGCAAATATTGCTGAATAAAACTAATAAAAGATTCAAGCTTTTGCCAGCTTTATTATTTTGTGAAAAAATGTTTCAAGATTGTGCAAACAAAATTTTTCTAAAGAGCGGCATTTTATATTTGCAGCCACCCTCATCTGTTTTACATCCTCACCTGTATTTCAAAAAAGCTAAAAAACTCATAATTTGTAGTTTTAATTTTGGAAAAAATAAATTAAAAAAGAATATTTTGTAGCAACTTATTACATTATTTATAAAATAAAAATGAAAAAATTACATTAGGCCAAAAATGCTCTCATCCACATACATTGATTATTATATTAGACATGGCACAATTCCTCCTGCACCTTGTAGAGTGCATCTTTGTTTTTAGCTTCATTGGTCAAAGCATTGTCTCACATTTTCTCATCATGTAATAACTCCAATGGATTAATTGAATTGTAAATGATGATTATTTGTTATTATATTTTTAGAAAGTTTTAAAAAAAAATTAATTTATATCTACCAAAAATAAATTATATTAAAAATCATTGCCTGCTGTATAAAAGTAATTTTAATTATCATCCGAGGATACAAATAATCTCTTTTCACCAGTCAAAATGAGGTTCATTCAATTCAATTTTCTAAATATTGTATTGATTATTACAATGTAAGCAAGATTTTTGAAATATTTTTAGTTGATCATTTTTGATCAATTATATTATGATTTATTGAAGAATTATTTGATAAAAAATTTAGTATTACATAGTCATATATCATATAGGCCACAATCTAATGATTTACTTGCATGGTTTATTAATCAAAAACAATCAACAAGTACAATTTTTAAATGATTACTTTTTTTAAATAAGTTTTTTACAATTATGAAATATCAATTTAACAATACTGCACAAGCAAAATTTTATACCAACACCAAAATCAAAGATACTCTAAAAATCATTTTTTAATTTAATCCATGCAATCCTCAGTTTTGCCAGTCATATTCCATGTGTATCAGCCTATTCTAAATGATATACAAGCTTCTACCATGTATTTCAGAAATTTTAGAGAAAGAAAAAAGAAACAACAAATTTTTTTTCTTCTATGCATTTGTAAAATGTAGTTTAGAAAAAACTATTATACTAAGTTTGTGGTTTTGAGAATTTTTCATCTGCAACTGCAGACAGAAGATATTACCAAAGTAAAATTAGGTTAACTTCCCAATGCTCTAGTTTTTACATGAAAATAACGATAAATAACAAAACAACACTGCACAAGAAAATAAATAAAATACAAAATTTTAAAATAAGCTTACTTACAGGGATAGGAAAATTTTGCACTGTGTCATCAAGCATAAGAACTTTACAATTGAGAGACCTGCCAGCATGAATCGGTGATGTTACCGGAGTACCACTGTTGCTTGACATCACGACAACAATTTAACAAATAATTGCTCTTTTATTTTAAGTAAGAACTTCTGAATAAAACTTCAATAGACTTGACTGAACTAGTTTGATAAAATATTGAATGTCAGGCAGTCAGTTTTTTTAATAATTGAACTATTATTTTAGTCGTACTATCTATGACTATTTTATTTTTGGATTTCAAAAATCTAGTTTTAGACTTTCAACTTATCATTTCATCAGTTAAGGTTTGATTCCAAAAAATTAAGTTTTGAAAATTAAAATATCATATCAAATTTTAATTAAATTTATTAATTAGTTAATTAATATATAATTAATAATTAGTATTATAATATTAATAAATTTTATTTTATGCGACTGGTTTTTTTTTACAGTTTTTATTGTAGTGTTTTCTGTTTCATATGGATGCCAGCAACAATAAAAATTAGAATTACAGGCTAACAAATAATAAATAAAGAAGATGTTAGCCTAGCTTATTCTAGTTTATAGTCAGTAGGAGAGCAGACTCCACTCAAACCAAAAAATATTTGTAGAAAATTGAGAAAAAGGCAAACCAATGTGGCAATCAATGACCAATGTTGCAGGGGAGTTGTGAACTGTAAGTAAGTAAACAATTTATTTAATGTTTTAATCCGACAGATAGATGTGTTGATGCAGAAGTAGAAGGACGACGACACAGTCAAATTAAAGTTGACGTTGTAATGTGGCGAAATGTGATACACAATCAAAAATCATTTATTATATTTATTATACTCAATTAATCCCTCCAAGTTATTTACAAGTACAAAAACTAGCTCCCCCGACATAATTATTTTTTAAAAACAAAGAACATAAGAGTACATAATTTTTGCAGCATTTTTGCTGCAGCAGTTTAACGCGGCCATAATAAAAGCAGCCCATTAATTAACTTATTGAATTCTTTAGTGTTTTACTTTGGTTAATTAACAAAAATGTTTTATTAAACAAATATTTGTAAGATGTTGACTATAAATAAAAATATGTACATACTATGCTGGCTGTATTGTATAGGATATTGATATGTAGTCCATACTCTATATCTATTTATGTACAACCATAATAGCTTGTGTGTATATATATATATATTTGTGTGTAACTGTTATAACGTTAATAACAGTCATATACTGAGATTAACAGTTGGCCAACATCAAAAATACAAAGAACTAAAAATTGAATTTTATATGGTCTTCAAAAAATTACCTTGTTTTAATCAAAAGTTTTGTATTATAACGCAATATCTTTTTATACAAATGCCACATTAAAATAGAACAACACCTTAGCTGAATTGCCTTCCGTTAGTAATATAAACATTTGAAAATCGCTATTCTAAAAAATTCGGTCTTAGCTGTATTTATTTTAAGTATATCTTAGGGCCAAGAGGCTCGCCTTGCTTTGGATATTCCATATATTACTATATAAAAAATGCACTAAAACAGAGACATTGCTGAGGTTTTTTTGGTCACTACCGTATTCGAAAACTGCCTTAGTTCGGTTGGTAAATTCTTGTTAATGTACAATTTGATAATGTAAAAACTTTGTAAATAAAAACTTTCTTTTGCGTCAGAAATGTTTATGTCCGAATAGTTTTGTCTGAATCAGTTTAACGCATGCTCTTTGTTCAATCTACAACTTGAGTCTACTGGTTTTTCGAACAATTATTATTATATTTGTAGGTTTTTGCTAAAATTTTTCAAAAACTTTCTTATTTTTTGAAGATAAGAAAACGAGACTTTTGTGTGACCTCATCATAAATTTGTCATCTTATTGAGAAAATTTTTTTCAACTTTAATGACTACTAGCATCCTATTAGCTTATAATGCCTCTTACCACTCTCTTTAAGGTTTAATGCTTCGTGTTATTAGCACATTCAGAGCTCTTTTTCTTTCACCAGCGAGATTCTACATATCCACATAATACAGAGTCATTATGATAATTTCTACAATAATGGAGTTAGTACTGCGCTATTTTTTTCAACGTTGAAGTACATTTGCCAAGTTCATTTTTTCTGAGAAATTTGATAGATAAACGTTATTAACATCTTCAAAATTTATTAAAATAATACAAATATTTTTTGCTTTCTTTTTCCTAAATTGCAAAAGTTGTATTTTCTGTTTTATTTTTTTTACATCCTAATGTATTTTTTTTAATAATTCAGAAAACGTTTGCAGCTTCTATTTAAAGTTTTTATCTTTCTCTATTTTGGAATTGTTTTGAGAGAATTTAAATTGAATTGTTCACGAATAATCACGATTTTGCGTGAATTGATTATACAGTGAAAAATATGTCTTATAAGCAATCTAGAGATAAATCGCATTAATTTTCGTTCCATGCTTTTTAAATTTTATTAAACTTTTACATATTGTTGAATTTAGATTTGATTAATAGACAAAATTACGATAAACATTTTTGCATTTTCAATTATTAAAAGTAATAATATTTAGAATTTTAAATTAAATTAACAACCTTATTTGGTTTATTTATTTGAAATTAATAGTTTTCTGTTGTATACGTACTTAGCTTGTAAAGATAAGAAGTGTAAATCGTGTTGTTTTTTTCTCAGAGCTCTTCTAAACTAAACAATGTTTATTTTATTTTATTTTGTTTGTAATATCAATATTAAAATTAATTATGTTGAAACAATTATATAATTATGACTAACAAGCAATTGAGTTGCTGTGGATCTGCAATGAGAACCTGAGTGATGTTAGAAATGATAAGTTGAAAAGCACCTCAAGTGAATTCAACACTAGTGACAGTTAAAAAATTAATAGGCAAAATTGAAACGATAAAAAAGGGGAAAATATTAACTGAACAACGTGAAAATACTAAAGTGGAAAAGTTTTAGATATAACCGATTTAACTCATTTTTATATCAGGCAGCAACTTGTCAAAGCATCTACCCATGTTTGTCATTTTGAATCCTAACCATCAACCGTCTCTTAAAATGTTCGAAAAATATTAATGGTTGTGATTCACATGGCAACTCATCCTAAGCGCTCAAGATGCTATGCATAGGGCACTATATTAAATAACAAATTATTGTTGTTATTAAATACTACTTCTTGATTGGTCAAAAAATAGATGTAAACCAAAATAATGAGAAAATGGCAGAAAAATTAAATTGACTAACATGAACAAATTGAAATTACATGCCATAGAAACAGTTCAGTCAAATTTTTTCAAACTCTAAGCACAAAACCAGTACTAACCAGCAATAAGCACACTAAGCCCGTGCTTAGGGCACCGACATAGAGTTACTTATTTAATTTAACTTATGATTAAGGGTAAAAGCTCTAGCCGCTATCTTTTATCTTCTAATAATTACATGATGTGTTAATAAATGTGATGTATAGATTATAGTATGTGTATGTGTATATAATATTGTATATAATACTTGGATTTGGTTGGTTGTTCGGGCACCATAATTGTTAAGTGATTATGGCTCCTGAATATGTTAATCCGGCCCTGCACAAAACCGATATATTTAACGAATTAAACATGGATCTCAAAGCCGAATTGAAACTCAAATTAAAATTTTAATTCGATAACAATCAGGGGCGCATCTAAACAACTTTGACTGGTGGGGGCAACAATTTTTAAAATGTTCAAATTTTTACGGAGAGACAACATTTTAACGACAGGGGGAACAAAATTTGTGGTAGTGTGGCTGACAACCTATATTTTGCTTATTACGTCTAAATTTTGGTCAATTTCTTACTTAAAACGGTCCTTTTTCTGACATTTATTAAAGGGGGGTTCTCCCGGCTTCCCTAGATCCGCCACTAATAACAATAATGCTAAATTTTTATCAAAAGAAATTTTTCATAAATAATTTATTAAAAATAAAATTTCACACATTTTAATTAACTTTAAAACAATTTCAAAATTCATACTTTACAAATATGCTATATTAATTTGTTGTAAAAAACATCACAGTTTATTATTTTTTGCACGTATATGTAGTTAAAATTTAAAGACTTGTTAATTAATGCCATTCACAACTATAGCTCTTAATTGGTAATTCACGGTTGTGTGCATTGGCTAATAAAGGCTGATTTTCTACATACGTATATATATATATTTTATATGTGTTATATAAACAATATTTATATATTATCTTGTGTGTATATATGTGATATATAGCCGATATAAAATTATATAAATGTATGTAGATTTTCATAATTTTTGTTACGGTTTTAATATATCAATCCGTCGGTAACTTCCCACAACAAAATAGCTTATTGACGTTTTTATTTTTTGCTCCTGTTTGTTTGATGTTGCGATGAGCTGATTTTCGCTTTTGAATGTCAGAAATTAGTGACATAATGAACGAAGATTATTCTTAGTGAATACATAAATTGTTGTAAATTCAAAAAGGTTCCAATCAATTTTTTTATCATATTTGATTTTAATTTTAATCCTTTATTCTTTTCTTTTGCTTTTTTCCAATGAAAACGATTTTAATTTTAATTTTGTTAAATTGTGTTCACCACTGCAGCACAAATTACAAAAAGATCTCAAAAGCACTTTAAAATAGAAAATAGATAAAAAATTTTTCATTAAGTAATTTAATAAAAAAGTTACTAGATTAATTTATTTTTTAGTTTAGTTAGTTTAGTTTTTAGTAGTTAGTTAATTTAGTAATTTAGTAGTTTAGTTAGAATTTAACTAATAATAAACTAATTACTAAACTAAAGTGTTAATTGTCTTTTTTCTCTTCTCTGATTCAGAGAAGAAATAAATAGTTATATTACGAATAGTCAAATACATACAATAGGAATTTTATCTAAAATCTCTAAAAAAAAGTGTATCATATTTATTTCATATCTTCTCAGCTCAGGTCAGCTCATAATACAATATAATATAATAATATATAATTTAGAATTATGTGTTATGTAGTTATTTATTTTATTTTATTCTATTCTATTCCTATCAAATCTACCTTCTATCTGCTATAAGCTATACTATTGAATATATTATACTAT